CCCTTCCCTTCCCTTCCCTTCCCTTCCCTTCCCTTCCCTTCCCTCCCCTCCTCCTCTGCTCTCCTCCTTCCCTCCCTTCCTCCTCCTCCTCCCCCTCCTCCTTCTTCTTCTTCCTCTCTCTCTCTCTCTCTCTCTGTCTCTCTCTGTCTCTCTGTCTCTCTCTGTCTCTCTCTCTGTCTCTCTCTCTGTCTCTCTCTGTCTCTCTCTCTCTCTCTCTCTCTCTCTCTCTCTCTCTCTCTCTCTCTCCTCCCCTCCTCATGTGCTGAATGAACTCTATCCTCTACCTGGTACCTGGCTGGTAGCTCAGGGGATAGGGATGCCTCAGCATGGGCCCACGGAGGCACTGCCTTCCCCCACCCCTGTCTGCACATCCATCAGACATATTTATATAACACAACAGCTATAGCACTGAGCTCTCTCTGGCCCTTTGCAGCTGAGGAGTGTGACAAAATTTGGTTGCTCTGTAGTTCAGTGTCCTGTACGCCTTCCCAGGAAACGCTGAAACAACTGACGTTTCCCATAAGTTCAGCTAAGCTAAACTTAAAGCAAGATCAAATGGCATGCATGTGATTCCTAGGCTAGGCTTTGGCTTTTGCTTTAGACTCTTTCTGTAGATAATTAAGCATTGAAAACTGATCTTGGAAATAAGACTATTTATCATAGCATGCACAGCACACTTTCTTCTAGCAAGCTTATAGTGTTAATTCAGTTTTACCTTTTGCAAATAGATTTTAAGCCTAAATATTCAATGGTGACTTATTCAGAATGTTAAATTGTCTCTAGAAGACCCCATTTGAGTTTTAAGCTGTGTGAAAAGAAAAAGTTCTACCATTTTTTCTTTCTTAAAAAAATAAGGTTTATTTTTTAAGTTTATGTATGAGAGGGTATCTGTGTGGGCATATGGACACGTGGATACAAGTGCCACATGAAGCCAAAGACATCAGATCCCCCTGTTGCTGGACTTCCTGGTAGCTGTAAGCTATCCAATTCAGGTGCTAGGACCAAACTTGGATCATTTGCAAAAGCAATATGTGCGTTTAGTTTCTGAGTCATCACTGTAGTCCACATAGTTCATTCTAATTGAACATTTAAGTAAAAACAACAACAAGGAAACGTTTGCAGAGTCATGGTCAACAGTGTTCTCATACATAGCAAGTAATTATAAGCATGAATTAGGCCCTCCTCTGAGCCATCAGCATTGAATACAGTGGATAACCTGTTTTGGAGATCTGTTAATCCATCCTGTTTTCTAACCTTCCAAACCCCGGTTCAGCATTAACCCTGCTGTGACTTTCACAGTGCTGAATAGCACTGATTCCAAACACAGGCCACTGAAAAGTCTTAAAGGACTCAGTATTCATCCCGGAAAACCACTTATGAAGTGTGTGGAATGGTGCTCTTTAGTAACCACTGTTCTATGAGTTTCTCTGTTTTCCTCCTTAAGACTATGCTAGAACTCCTCAGTCAAACCTGTATTGTATTTTTTTTTACATGTTCCTTAAAAACCATTAATATTCAGGCCTGATTCTTAGTTAACATAAGGTACTGACATGCTGTTTCTTTGTATGCCCACTTGTCACCTACTTGTTTTCAAGCCATTCTTTTTTTTTTTTTTTTGTGCATTAACTGATTTCTCCTTTATACATGAAATATCTACTTGCTTAAGCCTCAGAGTTAAAACTTCAATTCAGGCTTACTTCTCAGCCCATTCTGTATCTCAGTGGAAGAACAAAAATATAGAACAATTATGATATAGAAAGAAAGCCATCTCCACATTGAATTTAACTGAAACAAATTATTAGAGAGCTATTTTGGGTGGAAATTATATAATCTTGTTGTGCTAGATGATAAGATATTTTTCCACTGGCAAAATGAGCTAATTCAAGCCAAATCAAAAATATAAATGCAGGTTTATTGGGAAGCTGCTCTCTGGTGAGTTTACTGGCCCCAAGGGCTGAGGCCAGGAAAGTCAACACTGAGAGGGAGAGAGGGGAGAAAGAAAGAATGTGATCAGAGAGGAGGAGGAAAAGGAGGAGAAGGAGGAGGAAGAGGAGGAGGAGGAGGAAGAGGGGAGAGAGAGAGAGAGAGAGAGAGAGAGAGAGAGAGAGAGAGAGAGAGAGACAAAGAGAGACAGAGAGAGGCAGAGACAGAGACAGACTGAGACAGACAGAGATCCTACAGGGAAAGGGCAGCCCAACCCCTGGACTGGAAAATTCAGGGTTGGGGGCTGGTATGCTAGGTAGGAACTGAGGAATTCTGGGAGAATCTGAAAGCCAGGTCTGCTTTTGATGTGTAAAATATGAACCTCAGGACCTTGTCCTGGGTCTGGAATCCAACACTCAGCCTCAGAGAAACTGGATTGATAGGTTCTGCCTCATGGGTACCATTTGGTTATTTTGAGGGGGTTAGGATGCCAATTTTGTGTCTTGATGACAATTAAGAAATTGTTTATATTTTGAAGGTAGTAACTGCAGACCTTGTCCACACAACTGGATTCAGAATGGGAAAAGTTGTTACTATGTCTTTGAACGCTGGGAAACGTGGAACAGCAGTCAGAAGAATTGTTTAGAAGAGGGCGATAGTCTCCTTCAAATAGACAGCAAAGAAGAAATGGTAAAGACTGTTATGTGAATTTTGAAAATAACATGTTACTCATTAAAATGAAGTACAGATTCTCATATAATAGAATTCCTTCACTTTTCTATATTTTCAGTATAAAAATGTAAAGTGACAAAGTAGAGGATCCCTATAATAACATAATATATAATTTAATAATATAACATAATTTTTTCCCTATTTAATTGGAGAAGTGAAAATGAGAGTGGTTTTCCAGAAACTGAGGAGCACAGATTGTTTCTGCCTTAGTTAACCCAGGAGGAAGTGGTTACTGAGCTGTGACATACTCCCCATGTACATCCCAACTGTGGATGTTCTTAAATGTATTGTGTTCAATGCTACAGGAAACAAAATAATCTATAATGCACAGGGAGAAATGGAAGTATGAAAACTGAAGTCCCAATCTGCATGTATTGACACATGCATGTAAATCTAGTACATGGAGGGCTGAGGCAAGGTTATCTTGAATCTGGGGCCTGCGTATCAAGATCCTGTCTCAAAAACAAACAAAGGTACAAAGATTTGAACCTGAACTAATGTCATGAAATGAATCAGCTTAATAAGAATGGACATTTGAAAAATGAAGGGTTAAGCTTACTAGCCTAGCTTACCAGGATTGTGATTAAATAAACAGTACAATGCCTCTTGAAAGCATTCTACCATTAAACAGAATCTCTGAAACAGAATTCATAATTAGCTGTTTCTCACTCTAACAAAAATGGTCACTAACTGAAATTAGTTTTCAAAGAACAACGGGAAATATTAAGAATATGAAGTAAACCAAGAAGCTTTAAACTACATTACTAGAATTATTTAAAAACGTACACTTGGCTGGGCAGTGGTGGCGTACGGCCTTTAATCCCAGCACTTGGGAAGCAGAGGCAGGCAAATTTCTGAGTTCGAGACCAGCCTAGTCTACAGAGTGAGTTCCAGGACAGCCAGGACTACACAGAGAAACCCTGTCTCGAAAAACCAAAAAATAAATAAATAAATAAATAAATAAATAAATAAAATAAAAATGTACTCTTTTGCACAAATTGGATGACAAAATAAAACATGTTTTATTTGACAAGATGTCTTCAGGGTGAGCTGTGGTTGGAATCTCCAAAACTTCACATACTAAAGTATCGTAGAGGGGGAGAAGGACCCACACGGTCAATGGAGTAGGCTAAGTTTTGCTTTTGATGGTGAAAGACTGATATAAAACTTACTTTACTTTGTCATACTCTCTGACAGACTCAAAATCCATTAAAACTTTAATTCCAGATGTGTATATTTTCCATAGTGTTTAACACAGCATACTGACTATACAACAAAAGAATTGTGCGTCTTTGTGTGTGTGTGTGTGTGTGTGGTGTAGATGGTATGGTGTGTGTGTGTGTGTGTGTGTGTGTGTGTGTGGTGTAGATGGTATGGTGTATGTCTGTGTGTGTGTGTGTGCATGTGTGGTGTGTGTGTCCACTTTAATATCTCCTCTTTCATTTCAATACTCAAGTTGTCATTAATTTTTGACTAGACAAAGTATCAGACATTATATTGCACAGGTATTTGCTTTTCTTCATTTACAGTTTGTGTTTGTGTGTGTTTTTATAGGAGTTTATCAACCGCAATATGTGGAAGCTCAAAGGAGGAGATCAATACTGGGTGGGAGTGTTTCAAGATGGTCGCAGTGGATCCTGGTTCTGGGAAGATGGCTCCTCTCCTCTCTCTGACTTGTAAGTCTATGAAGGAGACATTACAAGGAAAAACTAGGAATATGAAGAAATTTTAAAAGTTTACTTTGTATCTTATATTTCTTCTAGAAGACATAGAAGCATGATACGTTTACAGGTTCCTCATTGGAATGATGACTACATTGCTTCTCTCTTAGTTAGGTTTTTTTCTTGCTGTGATAAAAGACTGTGACCAAAAAGCAAGTTGGGGAGAAATGGGCTTATTTTGTTTACAAGTCCATGTTGCTGTTCATTACCAAAGGAAGAAAGGACAGGTACTCAAACAGGGCTCAAGCCTGGAGCCAGGAACTGATACAGAGGCCATAGAGGGGTACTGCTCACTGGCATGCTCCTCATGACTTTCTCAGCCTGCTTTCTGAACCCAGCACTACCAGCCAAGGAAAGGCAACACCCAAAGTGAGCTGAGCTCCCCTCCCCTCATCAATTACTAACTGAGAAACAACCTCACAGGTCTGCCTGTAATTTCTTAATTGAGGTTCCCTCCTCATAGATGTCTTCAGTCTTTGTGTCAAGTTAACATAAAACTATCCTGAACAGCTTCTAAATCTTCTTATCAGCCCTCCTACCATATCCTTTATAAAGTTTTTTTTTAAATCATAATCCATATGTCTAAATGGGCAATAAAATATTAGTCTTTTTTATAACTTAATGCTGAGAGAACTTTTCTAGTCAAAAGACTGCGATAACTACTGATCGATTTCTATGTTGGGTTTCCCAGATGAGAATAGAGTTTGGTGAACACAATCAAGTGCCTTGGTATCTTGAGAACAGAGTCAAGAGAAGCACATTGCCTCTCATCTACCTTTATGCAAACATGGCTTGGTTTCCTTTAGAAGCTATTCATTCAAATTATATCAACATATTTCTTAGTAAAACTTAATAGATGCTATTTGAAGGAGGATAAAACCACCACAGAAGGGTACCACATTAAAGCAAACTAAGATAAATCCAACAGCACCTCTGGAGAGTTTTCCTCTCAAACACTACTGTCATCTTCAAATCTAACTTCTAACCTGGGAAGCTACCTTACTTTTTCAGGTTGCCAGAAGAGAGACAGCTATCAGCCAGCCAGATCTGTGGATACCTCAAAGATCATACTCTCATCTCAGATAACTGCAGTAGCTGGAAATATTTTATCTGTGAGAAGAAGGCACTTGGATCTTGCATCTGAAAGATACAACTCAAAGCTACCTCTGTTACACAAGTGTTTGAAAAAGGCCAAGGAGCAAATGCAAGAGGAGATTGGTGTGAGACCTATGAAGGCAAACTTGCGTTTCATTTACACTTGGCAATATTCTGTAATGCTTTGCAGATTTCAGTTGACCTTGTCCATTGTACCAAGGAGGAAATTGATTTAGAGCTACAGAAGTCCTGACTCACTGAGAACAGAGAAGAGAACACAATTTCCTGTCTGTTTGAAAGTCCAAAGTGACACACAGAAAATCTAGTTGTCCTTGTGGGAGTCTTTTTTTTTTTTTTTACAGTAATCCCTGGTTGGTTCTTTTAGTAAACAATTCTATCTACTATACTTACAACTGACAGAATTTTCTTCAGGTCAGCCTCCAGTAATTATATATCATAAGATTACACACTGAGAGGAAAGAGATGGATTTCTAAACTGTAGTGTTACCACCAATCGTATAACAGAGGTCCTTTGGCTCTAGATAAAAATGAGCAGAATGGGGATCTCCAGTGGTGGTAATCTTCCTCTGATGCCCAGGGTCTAGGGGTCTGACCTCACAGATATAGAGATTTACAGTTTCTAACCCTTGGATCTAGGGGACTATTGGCCCAGGATCTGACTGCTCAGGTTGAAGGCTTATAGTTTTTCGTTTTAATCACTACTGGCTCCAGGTTTTGGCAGTTTTCACAGTCCCTGACCTTTAGCAGCAGCAGCAGCAGCAGCAGCAGCAGCAGCAGCAGCAGCAGCAGCAGCAGCAGCAGCAGCAGCAGCAGCAGCAGCAG